TTAAAAATATGTACTCATTAAATCCATTTAGAAATGAGAATGACAATTATATGACATAGAAATAATGCATTAAAAAAATACCTACAGGCCAGGCACGGTGGCTCACGCTGGTAATCCCAGCACTTTGGGAGGCTGAGGCGGGTGGATCAGTTGAGGTCAATGATAAGTTCTGGCTATTAAAGAATAATGAAATAGAACAGGTTCAGGCAGAGAGCTGGGAAGAGGAAACAACTCTGTATCGGGCTAAGGAAGAAGCACGGTCTGCGTGGGCAGCAGTCAAATCTGCAAGGTGACCCATTTCACTCCCTATCATCCTTAGCGTTTCTCTCTTTCACCGAATCTGGTCTTCTATTTTTAAATTTTTTTTCTGGCCTTGTCTTATTTGTCCTTTTTCTTCAAATACAATAACTGAAGATACAGACAGTATGCAATACAACGAAATAGACGAAACAAATTCTAAGAGACTGCAATGCCACATGCTATGTTTAACCTAATTTTATTCATGCTTGCCTTGGGGTGGGGAATAGACCATTCAGTAAAAACATACAGTAAAAACAAAATATCTTATATACAACTTTTAAACTCCAATAATGATGTACTTTAATTACTTCCATGCACACAAGTCTAACATGAATTTTTTAAATAAACACAATTAAGACTTCTAGGATCATTTTATAATAAAGTAATTCCTAATTATTTTTTGTAGATAGACCAAGTGCCTACAAAATACAAATTGCTATACACAGTGAGCACTTTACTTAAAACGAACCCTTAAGCAAATTAAGTATGTGGACAGCCTTAGGTAGATCTTATACAGCTAGGTAGACAAAGCACAGTGCCAAGTGGAACACGTGTACCTGCAAATAAATATTTAGAACTAAGTTTATTTTTATAGTTAAATGTAGAAAGTATACTGATATGCTAAAATAAATAAGATGTAATGTATTAACACCTCACTATAAAGAATGCATACCAAAACATTTATAAATAACAAATGGTGGGCATTTAGGTTGGTTCCAGGTCTTTGCTATGTAAACAGTGCTGCAATGAACATTCGTGTGCATGTGTCCTTACAGTAGAATGATTTATAATCCTTTGGATATATGCCCAGTAATGCGATTGCTGGGTCAAATGGAATTTCTATTTCTAGGTCCTTAAGGAATCGCCACACTGTCTTCCACAATGGTTGAACTAATTTACACTCCCACCAACAGTGTAAAAGTGTTCCTATTTCTCCACATCCTCTCCAGCATCTGTTGTCTCTGGATTTTTTAATGATTGCCAAATGCCCATTGATGATAGAGTGGACAGGAAAAATGTGGTACATATACACCATGGAATATTATGCAGCCATCAAAAACGATAAGTTCGTGTCCTTTGTAGGGACATGGATGAACCTGGAAACCATCATTCTCAGCAAACTGACACAAGAGCAGAAAATCAAACACCGCACGTTCTCACTCATAGGTAGGTGTTGAACAATGAGAACAAGTGGACACAGGGAGGGGAGCACTACACACTGGGGTCTGTTGGGGGGAAATAGAGGAGGGACAGAGGGGGATGGGGAGTGGGGGGTGGATAGCATGGGGAGAAAAACCAGATATAGGTGAAGGGGAGGAAGGCAGCAAACCACACTGCCACGTGTGTACCTATGCAACAATCTTGCATGTTCTTCACATGTACCCCAAAACCTAAAATGCAATAAAAAAAATAACAAATGAGTCTCAGTAAGAATAGTTTACTACAATAAATGCTGGCTAAGTAGAAGTGGATATTGTGAAGCCCTGTGGGTGGTATGTTTTGCTACATACTCTTGTGACCTTGAGGTAGATAACACATGTACCAGATTCGGCATTCATTTTCAGTTGCTGCTGGGATCATGTCTTTTAAGAAATGTGTACAGTATGAAAAACTTGAAAATACTCATGAATGAAAAATGTTTTGGGAAAAAAATAGATATTTTCATGCAATTATGTACAGTCTCACTGTGTAAATTTCAAGGGAAGGTTTATTTCCTGTAAAACAAATCATCGTTCTATGAGAGAACGTTCTTTACATGTCTTAGTGCATTTCTTTTGCCTCCTCCTGCCTTGCATTATTTTGCTCCATTCTTTAATTTGTGTGCAAATGACATGCCAGTTAAAATGAAAACTATTTCACATGTAGAAGAGAGTCTGCATTTTAAAAACCAATAATAAAATAAACCAACGAATAAGATTCTCACTAAATGACACCATCTGATTCAAGTGAAAAATGACTTAAATACTAGTAATAGGAAAAGACAAATCACATTTCATGAAGAATACAAAGATAAATGTCTGCTGAGTGTTTTAGTTTGCGCTGTTTCAGAATGCTGCTGTATGTTCTATGAGGAATTTGAGGGGAAGATTTCATGGCAGAAGGTGTTAATGTGACCTGTATGGACTTCAGTGGACTGTGAAACTGCGGGATGCCTATGGTATCAAAGCTGCTTATTAAAGAGGAACTCCCTACTGTGAATCAGAAATCCTTCCTCATTTCCTCTCTCTCCAACCTTCCCATTCTTCGCTGGCTCAGTTTCTTGCATTTCAGGATTTTCTTTCCTGTTAAAGAACTTATCCAACTAGTGTAAGTGTTTTTCTTCTCAACTTGTTCGTTCTCCCTTACCTCACAAAACTGATGAGAAAACAGTCCTCCGTTCCACTCACAAACTGGCTGTCCCAAGAAGATGGGTACAAGGCTTCCAACTGAGCCAGATTTGCCATTCCTTTTCCCTGTTTTTCTTGGCTTACCAACTTTGTTATCAAACTTTTCAATTCTACTTGGGACACTGAGCTATTCAAGCTATTTAATTTACCAACAACATCAGTTGGCTCGTGTTGGGAACTAAGTTGAATGGTTCCTGCGATAAAGGAATCAAAGTCGAATCCCGGATTCTTTTCTCTTTCTTTTCCAGCCAGTTGTGTGGTGCTTCCTCTAGTGCTAAATGGGGTTTAACCAATCCATTCTTTTCACATTTTGACTTGCCTTTCTTATCAGATTTTTTTCTTTGCTTTGCTCTTTCCAATTGGAAAGATCTATAATAAGCCTGGGTTCATAGTAATGGCTAACTTCACTCTCTTTCTATACTAAGTTATCTAAATATGATGATGACGTCATTTTGTAGTTGCAGACATGGCTACACTCCAGATCATAATATTTGTTTTCGTGATGATCTGGCTTACAAGGCTCAGTAGAGTAATTGGTATCAAAAGCAGGATCCTCCAGATATTTTTGCTGATCTCCCTTCAAACATTTTCAGGGATCAAATTGTACTTCTTCATCAGTGACATCAGACAGAGATCTTAGATCAAACTGAACTTCATCAATATCAAATTTGTTATGTATAGGCCAATGCTCTGAAAACTGACAATCACTGTACCTTTCTCAGTTATAAATGTGACTGTGAGTTTCATCCATAAGCAAAACATCATCAACTTCATCTTCCATATGAAAAGGATGACTTGAAATTCATTCATCCATTGGAAAAGGATATATGCTCACGTAAGGATGAGAGAGCACTTCCGGTGTTAACTGATCTATGGGGATAAATGTCAAATTTTGTTTCAGGAAACCCAGTGCTTCTCCATTAATTCTTGCAAACAGCTGAGTTAAAGGTTTGTGTGGCTCGGTTATGTCATTTCTAATGTAAACTGAAATTATGCCAAGAAGCTCCTGATGATCTTCCTCAAGTACAACAGGAATAGATTCTGAAATCAGCTGCATCTGTTCAAGTTCATGTGCATCTGCAGAAAGGGTTTTACCAATTAGCATTTTGCAAAGATGCAGCCTGCAGCCCAAACGTGGGCTTAAGTATAATTATTAGGAGAAAGTAAAAGACATGGAGATCTGTACCATTTAGTAACCAATCCTTCAGAAAGATGACCCTTCACAAAGTGGAATAATGAGTATCCATGATACATGCAAGACCAAAGTCACCTATCTTCAACACAAAGTTTTCAGTATTAACGAAAAGATTAGCTGGTTTGAGATCTCCGTGCAGCACATTTGCAGAGTGAATATACTTTAGTCCCAGCTGATACATGAAAAACCTGGCATGCTCTTCCAGTAAAGGGCCCTGTCTCTGCACATTAGCCAAGTCTCCTGAGCAATGTAAACACTGTTTAATTTTGTAAGAGAGCCCACATCATCTCTTAATTGGCTTCCACTGGGACCAAGAATTTCAAACACTTTCACAGCGTTATCACAATCAAGTCTTCTAATAATTTTGATTTCACGTACATCATGTTTGACACTCTGGGGATCAATAAAGAAAATTTTCTTGATGGCTACTCTTTTTCACAGTCATTGTCTGCAGCAGAAAAAACCAAGCCATTGCCTCCACAACCCAATGGCTTTAAGTCCATATATATGGAACCCAGATCAAAACCATGAATGTTCATGAGACTTCCAAATTTCTCTGCCATTCTGAAAACCCTTACTGTTGCCTTTTCCTTTTGAATTGTTGAATTTGTGTAAACAAGCAAGAAAACTGGCATCAAAAGGAAATATCTTTCAAAAAGGGAGAAGAAAAATAATTATGCTTCCACAGCAAGATGGTTTCTTGATGTTCACTGCATATGCCAAACAGTCCTGTTGAATTTCCCGTAGATTTAAAGCTCAAAAAGCTCTACTCATATTGAGGATTAAAAAGATTGCAGTACTCATAGTTCAAGAAAGGGGCAGTAACTCCGCAGAGATTAAAAGAAAACACTCAAGAAACTCAAACGGAATGAAATGACATATTATGCACTCAGATTACTGTGCTAAATGATTTAACATTTAACAAACATGTGAATAAGTATGCACACAACAGGCTTGTATGAACATTCTCGTCACAGTACAGATGCTTTCGGTGTTGGACTGGTCCTGAGCAGGATCCTTCTAAGGCGCTGATAGGGATTACGTCCGTTTTGTTTCTTTGCTTCCTTTGTTGCTGTATATTTCAACGGGAAGCCCTGGGGGCTGTTGGTTAACAGAAGATGTCTTTTGTTACTGATCAGGTGGCTGCAGCTCATCACATTCGCAACCAAAGGTATCGTCCGTCTTACTCCGATACAACCGGACTTCTCTAACTCCTCGAGAGAGTGCGGGGCAGGGGCAGACCCGGGGTCAGCTCAGGTCTCCTGAGCTTCTCGCTTTGCTGCTCTGGCCGCCTTATAACTGTGACCCGATTCTGGTCTTTTTTTTTTTTTTTTAATGTGGATGTGTTCTTGGTGGGCAGGGGAGGATTGCATGGGGGTGGAAGTAGACTGTCTGTATCTGATGGGGAGCTTTGGTTGATCCTTCTAGAACCAAACCAGGCTAGAAGACTTCGTCTGTGCTGCGGGTTGAAATCAGAAACCAGGAAATGACATCAGTTAATTTGGCAGTGGAATGGCACTGCTTCCATGAGGGAGAGTCTGTCTATGTAGATTTAATCTCACAATCCATTATTCCAGGTGACACTGATGGATCATTTCTATATGCTGGTCTTTGCATATATTGTCTCATGAGCACCACACAATAACCTTATAAGATTATTTTATGGATACGAGTATGGTCTCAGAGATGTTAGGACACTTGCTCAAGGTCAAAAAGTGTGAAAAATTCAAGCCCAAGTTGTTCTAAAGGTGGCTGTGTTGGGAAGGAGGGTGGGATGCGCTTTCACTTGAAATACTAGCTTTGACTCTAAAGGGCAGCAGTTGAATTTAATTGCTTGGAAATCTAAGGATTTCTCTCTGTAAGTAATAGGAGGGCCCACTTCACTAGTAGAGAGGCAATAAATTGTCCACCTTTCAGAGGTGGATGGGTAGCTTCAGGGTATTGGGCTGCTATTTAGCTAATTACTTTGCTGATGTATTAAATGGCTATTGATTCTAGAAGGTGAGCAGTTCATTTCCTACAGAGCAATCAGGTCAAACATAGTTTCTGTAATAATAATAATTATGCAATGTATATTCATGCAAAAAAGGGAGCTTGTCACGAATGTGATCCAAAGCTAAAGGAGGGCTGAAAAAGTACGAGAGGAAAATCATCAACAAGAACGAACTGAACATGAATCTTTAATGGAAACCTAGCTACCCTTTAAATGGGAGAGGTAATTGAGCTGTTGAATGGATATTTTAATTTTACAGGCTATGAGATTGTAGTTTGAAAAATTATCTTTGAAATAATAATGTGCACAGAATTGATATACTGAGTTACCATAGAAATCACCTTCAGTGCTATTAACACTGCTAATCATGTTGCCTCACCCTTAATGTGTTTCATAAGAATAAATGCTTCCTAGCAGCTACATAAATCTATCTTACTTTATGATTTAAGACTACTTCTCTTTTTTCTGATTCTTTGATAAATTAAATTCTCTGAAAGACACCCAGCCTATAAATTTAAACAAACACAAAACAAAACTCATATTTTCTGGTAGCAAATGTCAGTTTAGAATTCTATTACTTGGGTTCAATTTTTCATATTTTTATGTCAACTAGTATTTCTAGAGTCTGCTTGAAGCCATTACTTCATTGTCTATGCACCCATCTAGCCATCCATGATCCACCATCCATCCATCCATCCATCCATCCATCCATCCATTTATCCATCCATCCATCCAACCATCCATCCATGATCATCCATGATCCATCAGTCCATCAATCCATCCATGCATCCATGCATCCATCCATCCATCCATGCATGCATGCATGCATGCATCCATCCATCCATCCATGCAACTATCCATCCATCCATCCATCCATCCATCCATGCATGCATCCATGCATGCATGCATGCATCCATCCATCCATCCATGCAACCACCCATCCATCCATCCATCCATCCATCCATGCATGCATCCATCCATCCATCCATGCATGCATGCATCCATCCATCCATCCATGCAACCACCCATCTATCCATCCATCCATGCATGCATGCATCCATCCATCCATCCATGCAACCATCCATCCATCCATCCATCCATCCATTTATCCATCCATCCATCCAACCATCCATCCATGATCATCCATGATCCGTCAGTCCATCAGTCCATCCATGCATCCATCCATGCATCCATCCATCCATGCATGCATCCATCCATCCATCCATGCATGCATGCATCCATCCATCCATCCATGCAACCACCCATCTATCCATCCATCCATGCATGCATGCATCCATCCATCCATCCATGCAACCATCCATCCATCCATCCATCCATCCATTTATCCATCCATCCATCCAACCATCCATCCATGATCATCCATGATCCGTCAGTCCATCAGTCCATCCATGCATCCATCCATGCATCCATCCATCCATGCATGCATCCATCCATCCATCCATGCATGCATGCATCCATCCATGCAACCACCCATCTATCCATCCATCCATGCATGCATGCATCCATCCATCCATCCATGCAACCATCCATCCATCCATCCATCCATCCATTTATCCATCCATCCATCCAACCATCCATCCATGATCATCCATGATCCGTCAGTCCATCAGTCCATCCATGCATGCATCCATCCATCCATCCATCCATGCATGCATGCATGCATCCATCCATCCATCCATCCATCCATCCATCCATCCATTTATCCATCCATCCATCCAACCATCCATCCATGATCATCCATGATCCGTCAGTCCATCAGTCCATCCATGCATCCATCCATCCATCCATCCATCCATGCATGCATGCATCCATCCATCCATCTATGCAACTATCCATCCATCCATCCATCCATCCATCCATCCATCCATGCATGCATGCATCCATCCATCCATGCATGCATGCATGCATCCATCCATCCATCTATGCAACCATCCATCCATCCATCCCTGCATCCATCCTTCTAGCCATCTTTTAACTCTTTACATAAATTAAGCACCAATTACATGCAAGCCTTTGTGCTACACAGGCACTCTGGGGCTTATAAAAATAAATTACACAATATGCCTCCTATAATCAAGTTTGCAATCCAGCAAGAAAAACTAGACCCAAATATACACTGTGTATGTAAGAAAGTTTTTGATAAATACCAGAAAAGTATTCATGTAAAAATGTTATTGGAGTAAGAAATCACTTCTGAATAAAGGCTGATATTTCTTCTTAGATATCTCATATGCAATAGGCAACATAATCTGTACATTTCCCTACTCAATTCACTAAATCTTCCTTCACCAGCCACTAAACTTTCCCATCATTTGCATTCCCCATATTCAGTGGTTTCACCTGCTACCCACTTAAATTAGAAATTGGAAATAATAGAGTCATCCTTGATTCAGATTTCTACTATACCTGAATTAATCACCAAGTGATAAATACTTTGCTTTCTAAAATTTTCTTGGATTTATTTAGTTCTTCGCCATACTTGGCACAAGTATCTTGATAGAAACTTTCATGAGTTTATCCATTAGATTATTGCAACAGTTTATCAACTAGTTTTTCTGCCTCTTATCTTGTGCCTTGAAAAATCTTCTCTCACATAACAGCTGGTGTGATATATCTAGATAAAATCCGAAGACCCTTGATCAAAAGTCTTCGATGGTTGGTTGCCTGTAGCTGGTGCCTTCCCTACTACGTTGTGTGCAAAGCCAACCTCGACCTGTTCTCTGTATCTTTCTAGCCTCATCTTCTTACTCAAGAGCTAGGCTTTAGAATCTTTGAAATAACTATTTTTTTTCTTTTTGTAAATTATTTTATTGCTTCCATGATGATTTAGAGGGACTGACTATCTTCAAATCAGTTCAAATATTTCATAATTAATATCTGACTGTTTTCTAACCAATTGAGTAATTTGTTGCACAATAAGCCACCTCACATCTTTCAGGAAGAAATACATTACACTTGAATAGCAAAGACATTCCAGAATAAATTAGGACACAATTCAAATTTGCTTTAAATATTTCTTTGGAGGAAGAGACACCTGACTTCTACTTAATGAAAAGAAACATCTTTACAGTCCAGAGGTCTTTTATTTTATTTTATTTTCACACTGAACATGCCATGAATTCATAGGGAATAGGTTCCAGCAGCTCAGGCTCCTTCCCACTGGTTCTCACAGTGTGCTTCTCTGGGTGGAGCAGGCTGGTGCTTCAGCTGAACCCAGGTACTTTCTCTTTGGCTTCTTTCTTTTTCTGATCATTTTCCTTCATGCGTTTCAGGAAGCTATCTAGGCTCTTAGAGTGCTTAATGTGCTCAATATGTACTTTAATTCTCTTGGCAAGAATCTTGCCTTAACTTCTTTGTTACAACGATGCCAGCAGCATGCTGGGCAACACTGTAGACTCTTCCAGCTTTGCCATGGTAACCCTGGTGGCACATTCCTTATTGAACAGCACCCCTTCCCTTGATATATACACTATCACCTCTCTTACAGATTTGCATGAACGTGGCCAAAGGAACAACACCTGTTTTCTGAAAGGCCTATAGAACATCTGTTGGGTGCCTCTCCTCTTTCCTTTCGTGTTCGTCATTTTGGTGAATTACTGGAAGATGGCAGTTCCAGCTGAAAGGCCAGTTTTTTCTTTTAATTAGACAAGGTCTTGCTTTTTCGCCCAGGCTGAAGCGTAGTGGTAGCATTGCAGTTCAGCGCAGCCTCGAACTGCTGGACTCAAGTGATATTCCCACCTAAGCCTCCCAAGTAGCTGGGACCATAGGCATATACCACCAAACACAGTGAATTTTTAAATATTTTTGTAGAGTGGGGGGGAGGGGTCTCACTATGTTGCCCAGGCTGGTCTTGAACTCCTGGCCCCAAGCAGTCCTCTTGTTTCAGCCTTCCAAAGTGCTGAGATGACAGCTGTGAGCCACCATCCCTGGCCTTGTTCCGTTTATACAATTGCCTTTTCTAGATTCTCTGTCTTGTACATCATTCTCAAATACATACCTACAATGGTTTCACCTATCTGATTCCTGTGTATCTTTCAAGTCTCGACTCAAGAGCCACGTTTGTAAGAAGCCTTTCCTAATCAGACAAAACTGAGGGAGTAGGAGCCCTGCCTGTGTGCTTCTGTTTTATCCCATCCATCCCTATTATACCCTCAAAAGAGACAAAAAGACTTCTCTTGGAAACATCTGGGCAAACATGGCAGAATAAAAATGGATTATAGAATCTCTGTCGCTTAATACCTAGTAAAATGGTCATTACTGTAAAATAAACCCCAAAGGCTCAGCTTCTCTAAACAGTCTTCCTTCCTGCCCCCGACTTTACCACTAGAAGTCAGACAATGAGCAAAATTGAATGCCACTGACTTCAGAAAGTGATGAACAGGGGAAGGAAGAAGATCCTTCTGAGGGAGAGTCACTTAAGTCTGGCAGCTCCACGTTGCAGTGAGCCGTGATAGCACCACTGCTCTCCAGCTCGGGTGAAAGAGCGAGACCTTGTCTGATTAAACAAAAACAAAAACAAAAACTCCACGACAACTGTAGTTATTCCAGAGTTCCCAAAGCCCAGCCCTCGAGTAAGGAGATGAGGTTAGAGAGATACAGAAGACAGTCAAGCTTGCCTTGCAGACGCCATACTAGGGGAGGTGCCAGCTATAGAAAACCATCAAAGACTTTTCGTCAAGGGACTTCAGACTGTATTGAAATAGATTGCACCAGCTGTTGTGTGAAAGAGGATTTGCAAGTTACATGAGAAGAGGCAGAAAAACTGTTACAATAATCAAATGGGAACTCACGAAGGTTTTTACTAACATAGTTGTATCAAGCATGGAGAGACGAGAAAGGGATACGTCTAAGAAAATTTTAGAAAGTAAAATATTTGTCAGTTGGTGATTAATTCAGGAAGGTATAGTAGAAATCTGAATCAAGGATTATTCTATTGTTTCTAGTTTCGACATTAAGTGAGGAGCAGGTGAAACCACTGAGCTTAGGGAATGCAGATGATGGGGAAGTTTAGTGGCAGGTAGAGGAAGAATTATTGAATTTAGTCTGAAAAATGAAGGAGTGGAGGGCATCACAGCTACCACCCTCCTGAGGAGTTGCTTCCTAGAAGCGTCTGGACTAAGATCCAGGAGCAGTCTGGCTGATGGGGGGTGAGGCTTCACACAGTGAAGATGGCTGATGAAAGAGAAAGACCAAACCTGGGACCCAGCCTAGGACAGTATCTGCAAGCACAGATTTTGAAGCCAGACAGCTTCTACCTCTAGTTATGTGATTGTTGGTGCAACACCTAACTTCTCAGTGACTCAGCTTCCTCATCTATAAAGTGGGGATGAGAATGGTACCCACCTCAAAGCGAAGCTGTAAGGGTTAAAATTGGTTAATACATTTAAAGTGATTAAGATAGCGTGTGCATGTGGTACCCCTAGGTAAGGGTCGGCTACTCCTATCCAAAACTCAGGATAAAAGTGAACTATGTGGGCATCGTTGTTTCTGCTCTCTTTTGTCTGGTGGGCAGCAGAAATGTTGGGGAAATGGGAGAAGCACATTCTCAGGCCCTACCCTGAGCTGGGGGCATGATCCACCACCTGCTGTTATCCTCTGAAGAGAGAGTGGAGCCCAGGCGTCCCCACAGAGCCTGCCTTGGGCCTCTGCTGGGTTTGCCCATCTGCTCTCCTGTGCCTTCAGCTTAGAGGAAAGTGCACAGCTAGGTCTTCCTAGGCATCAAACTATAGTGCTGAGGGGACACAAAGAGACACCTCCTGCACTGTATGTCAGCAGGTAGGGTCTGGTCCTGAGCACAAGATAGGTTCTGAGCATGAAGAAAAATGCCCCAGGACAGTGAGGGGCCAGCACATCATGTGGAAAATCCCCAAACAGGGACAAGTTCACTCCAGTCATTTACATTATAGAAAACTATAAAAAACTTACGTTCAATAAGGTAAGCCCTTAAAGAAAAGTTGATAAAACTTGGATGAATATCACAGAACTAAAGAAACAGGTTATGAACCCAAACTACATTCTCCCAGAACTATTACCTATATTGAGAAAAGCTTAGAGGAAAATAGGCACAGCTGAACGCAAAATCATAAATAACTGGCTTCAGCTAATCAAAGGGAACCCAGAGGAACCTGAAAAAGATGAACTCATTCAGAGCAAAAAGGAATTGATAGAGAAGACGAAATCATCCGACTAAACGGTAGAGTCCTAGGAGGACAGAGTTCACCACATGGGACAGGAAAATAATCATGTGAATATAAAATAAGACCAAAATTTCCTCCATGAAGAGCCATGTGTGTGGGTGGAAAGATCACACTATGCTCAAGGAAAAGCAGATAAAGAATTGCTGACCCTGAATTCAATCCTCACAAAGCTGTTAACCTTGCTGAAAACGAGGGCCATCTTCAGGCGTCCAGGCAGAACCCCCCCCCCCCCCCCCACCGCCAGGTTCAAGGCCAAAACGGTGTCCGCAGGTTTCCATGGTAATGAAGCTGTGACCAAAATACACACCGGTCAAAACTGACATTTCACCCCAGTACTCTGGGGCAGCATAACCCGTTCTGGGTTGCACAGTCGCGGTCAGGATGGGATGGGACCTGTGGATGGAGACAGGGATGACGTCCGTTTCCTTTGCGGAACTGCGTGCCTGGTTTTCCCTCACGGACGTGCTGCGCCGCCCTGAGCTCCTGCCCACCTTGACGTTTCACACTTGGTGTTTCCTGGAGTGCCCGTCTCCTGCCTCTGGCCTCATCCAGCCCCAAAAGCTGACCTGTTCCGTTGCCTCCTCACGCAGACTGTCCTGCCACCTGCTGTCCTCCCTCCTCCCATCCCCACCTGCAGCTTCGGCTCCTGTTCATTTCCTTTATGGCCCTTGCTTTTTACTGTCTGCCTTTCAGGGAATGAAGCCCAAGAGCTCAGGGGCCTCACTTTCTGTGTCCTTAGTGCTTAGAGCAGGGCTTGGCATCTATTAGCTGCTCAATAATCATTCGTTTGAGCAGAGAAGGAAGGAAAAGAGGGAGGGAGGAAAGATGAAAGAGGAGCCTGAGCTCAGCCTTTAGAGGTGGATTGAGTGTTAGACGGACTCAGAGGATTCCGGGCCTATGGGGTGATGAGTAGAAAGAGAAGAGGAGAAATAGGGCGTCTGAAAATCCAAGTCCCACCCAGAAAACACCTCATCAAAGATTGCCCTTTAATTGGGCTGTGAATTAGATGTTAACTTCTTATCCCGCTACCTTTGAGATGATGATACATTACAAAATACTCTTTGTAGCTATTTTATTTTAGTTTTTAAAAGACAGGGTCATGCTTTGTCACCCAGGCTGGAGTGCAACGGTGCCATTGACTCATAGCTCACTGCAGCCTTGAACCCCTGGACCTGTGACTTGGACCACAGGTCCTGAGACACCACTGGCTGGCTAATCGCAGCTCTGAGTAGCTGTATAATAGGGACTCTTATGAACTGGGCATCAGCAGCAGAACACTGCAGAGCAGGTTGCTTTCTGGCTGGCTTGAGGGTGGATGATATAAACCCTGGGATAAATTATGATACGGGGATTTAGATGCTTGAACTACAGATTTTTTCCAGAAAAGGATTCTTGCTAGCTACTGGGATTTAAAAAAAATAAATGTTTTCTGTTCTGTGATTATTTTCTTAGAAATATACAATTGCTTCTTTCCATTCGTGTCAGTTGTATTCTATAAGGTCGCTGTGTACTCTGAATTAGTAAATACGGAAGCATTGCTCCCAGGAAAAACACAAGGTTAGGTCACTGCAAGCCTGCTAGTCAAAACATTTTTGTCCACCAATCAATACATGAGCTTGCTTTATGTGTGTTTCTATTTAAACGCACCTTACTTAATACATATCATTGATTCATTAACATGGAAGTCGTGGAGAACAGCTCTAAATGACGCTTGTCTAATGCACGTATTTTCCCCCTCAAATAACATCACAGCTTTCTTGCGCGTAGGAACCCGAGATAGCACTATAGTTAGGGAGTTACGTTAAACAGCAGAAACATCAACAAAAAGCCCTACAAAATGCAAAAAGCATGGTACCGAATACAGTGTGGGGAGGATTCTCGTTTGCAGTATGAGAGCTGAGACAAGAAGACAGAGGGTTTGACCTCGGCTGGGCGTGTGCGTTGCGTTTCTCAAATGTTTTGCCTCCCTGTCCATGTCTGCACGGACTGTACAAACGCTGTGAATATTGACCTTGGAGTGACAAATACATTTTAGTAGGTAGATGAATTCACGAACCTCGAATCAGCGAATAACAAAGATGGAGTGTATTTTTTTTTTTTTTTTTTTTTTGAGGCGGAGTTTCGCTCTTGTTACCCAGGCTGGAGTGCAATGGCGCGATCTCGGCTCACCGCTACCTCCGCCTCCTGGGTTCAGGCAATTCTGCCTCAGCCTCCTGAGTAGCTGGGATTACAGGCACGCGCCACCGTGCCCAGCTAATTTTTTGTGTTTTTAGTAGAGACGGGGTTTCACCATATTGACTAGGATGGTCTCGATCTCTTGACCTTGTGTTCCACCCACCTCGGCCTCCCAAAGTGCTGGGATTACAGGCATGAGCCACCGCGCCCCGGCCTATTTTCTAATTTCTTAAGATGTGAGTCTGAGTTTGGTAAATGTTAGTAAAGATAGGTATTCCAAAGTCACCCAAATCACATTAGAGCTCTGTTGCTACTATCAGAAGCCCTTGATTATGGTTTAGATTTTTAAAAAGTTTTGAAGCATTTTCAGCTCATGGTGAATATATGTATTGATTCATGATTTAATAAATGTTTGTATGAACACATGCTTTCTATTTGGAGGCTTATAAAAACATAAAACTTTTATAATAACATAGAGTTGCTTTGTGATTTCCAGATTTTTAACTGCTCTAATGAGCACATCTCCTTTAATCCTCCTGACCCCCTGAAAGGTGTTTGGGAACCCAGTCATTAGTGGCATTTGTGGAAGGTCTGAGAAGTGGGAGCAGCTCTCTAGATTCTGGGGATAACAGGTAAGGGGGAACCGGCCCTAGAGAAACTTGTCTGGCTTGCAGCTAGAGTACATCATGAGGCCAGCACCAGAAGCCAAGTTTTGTTTTAATGACCACATCCCACGGGCTCCTTAGCCAGTCACTAATGATGTGATCCTAGAGCCTTCATGCAGACCAGCCAGCCCAGGCAACAGCGCCACGGAGAGGCGGGCAGGTGCCTGCAGGAGGCTGTGAAGTACTCTAAAAGCAAATGAGAAATTACGCAAAGCATGACGAGGTGGACCCGCTGTTGGTCAATAAATGTCACCTTGCACGGTGTTAAGTGCATGATGTCTGAAGCCAGATATCCTGGGTTCCAAATCAGCTCTGTTTCTTAATAGTTGTGTGACTTTCAGGGGTGATGTGTTTAGCCTGTCTGTGCATCAATGTATTTATCTGTGAAAGTTGGACAATAGTATACTAACATCATTAACATCATAAGGCTATTGTAATAATGAAATAAATTACAACTATGAAGTGCTATATAAGCACAGATTGTGACAGGCATTTTGTGGGTCCCATTCTGGACCACTGCAGTAAAGCAAACATTGCAATAAAACGAGTCACATACATTTTTCTTAGTGTATATAAAAGTTATGCTTACACTGAACTATAATCTGTTGAGTGTTCAGTTGTGTTATGTGTAAAAAGTAATGTACCCATCTTAATTTAAAAATATTTTATTGCTAAAAAATGCTAATGATGATCTGAGCCTTCAGCAAACCATCATCTTTTTGCTGGTGAAGGGTCTTGCCTGGATGTTGACGGCTGCTGAATGATCAAGGTGGTGGTTGCTGAAGGTTGCGGTGGCTTTAGCAGTTTTTTTTTTTTTTTTTGAGATGGAGTTTTGCTCTTGTTACCCAGGCTGGAGTGCAATGGTGCTATATCGGCTCACTGCAACCTCCGCTTTCTGGGTTCAGGCAATTCTCCTGCCTCAGCCTCCTGAGTAGCTGGGATTACAGGCACGCACCACCATGCCCAGCTAATGTTTTGTATTTTTAGTAGAGATGGGGTTTCACCATGTTGACCAGGATGGTCTCGATCTTTTGACCTTGTGATCCACCCACCTCGGCCTCCCAAAGTGCTAGGATTACAGGCATGAGCCACCACACCTGACCGGCAGTTTCTTAGAATAAGACAGCAGTGGAATTTGCCACACTCTTCCTTTTGTGAAAGACTTCTCTGTAGCACGCAGTGCTGTTTGATAGCATTTTACCTAAAATAGAACTTCTTTCAAAACCGGAGCCAGTCCTCTCAAACTCTGCTGTTGCTTTATCAACTAAGTTTATGCAGTATTTAAGTCCTTTGTTGTTACTACGGCAATGTTCACAGCACCTTCTCCAGGAGTAGATTCTATCTTAAGAAATCATTTTCTTTGCTCCTCCTCCACAAGAAACAATTTCTCTTCTGTTCAAGTTTCATCCTGAGATTGTAGAAATTCAGTCCCGCCTTCAGGCTTCATTTCTAGTTCTCTTGTGATTACTATCACATCTGCTGTTACTTCCTCCAATGAAACCCTGATCCCCTTCAAAGTCATCCGTGAAAGTTGGAATCAACTTCTTCCACACTACAGTTAATGTTGATACTTTGACCTCCTGAATCATGAATGTTCTAGAATGGCATCTAGAATAGTGAATCCTTTCCAGAAGGTTTTCAGTTTCCTTTTCCAGTCCATCAGAGGAATCACCATCTATGCCAGCGATAGTGTTGGAATTTGTTTCTTAAATAACACGACTTGAAAGTTGAAATTAGTCCTTGAACCATGGGCTGCAGAAGGGATGCTGTGCTTGGAGGCCTCTCTGTCAGGACTCTCCAGTGACCAGGTGCATTATCAATGAGCAGTGATATTTTGAAGGGACTTTTGTTTTGGAGTCACAGGTCTCAGCAGTGGGTTTAAAAGATTTGGCAAACTTTGCTGTAAACAGCTGTGCCATCATCCCAGCTTTGTTTTTCCATTTCTAGAGCACAGACAGAGGATACTTAGGGTAATAATTAAGAACTCTACGATATTTTTGAATGATAAATGAGCATTGGAGTCACAAAGTCACCAGCTGCATTAAACCCTAACGTGAGAGTCAGCCTGTCCTTTGACGTTTTGAAGCCAGGCATGGAATTCTTCTCTCTGGCTACGAAAGTCACACATGGCATCTTTTTCCAATATAACGCTGTTTCGTCTAGCTGGGAAGCCTGCTGTTTGGGGTTTAGTGGTAGTCTTCATTGATTAGCTTTACTAGATCTTCTGGATTACTCGCTGCAACTTCTCCATCAGCACTTGCTGCCTCACTTTGCACTTTGAGGTTATGGATATGGTTTCTTTCCTTACACCTCATGAACACATCTGCCCGGTGCCCGCCGACCTCGAGCCCTCGGACGGGACGCGCACGTGCGCCAAGCTCTACGACAAGAGCGACCCCTACTATGAGACCTGCTGCGGGGGCGCCGCGCTGTCGCTGGAGCCGGGCGCCGACCTGCCCTCCCTGCCCTCCAACTGGGCCAGCACCGCCTCCCCGCTCGTGGTGGCCCCGCGCTGCGAGCTCACCGTGTGGTCCCAGAAAGGCAAGGAGGGCAAGACGCACAAGTTCTCCACCGGCACCTACCCGCGCCTGGAGGAGTACCGCCGGGGCATCTTCGGAGACTGGTCCAACGCTATCTCCGCGCTCTCCTGCAGGTGAAGCTGACGCTTTGCTGCTCTCTCAGCTGCAGCTTCCACAGAGTGCTAAGCCCCTCACTCGGCCTGTCCCTGGGCTCTGCTCCGGGGCCCCAAGACCCAGAAGGAGGAGCGTTCTGCCTGCCCCCTCCCACCTCCCCTGCAATACAGCCTTTTCCTATAGTTGCTTCGTACAGTCTGTCATCTGCTTGTCCCTGGGACCCAAGTCCTCACTAGACTGGGTGGGATGGAGGCGAGAGCAGGGTGGTGGGGCCTGGGTCAGCCCGTAACCAGGACAATGCCTTGGATGAGGATATGCCATAGATTCGGACATGGTTTTAGGCGTGTTCAAAGACACGCCCCCACAGAAGGACATATGAGTGAATCACAGAGGGACCTGGGCTGACGTTAATGTGAAATGTGCCCCACCCTTTTCGGTAAATAGCCCTTCCTTAGCCAGGCGAGGTGACTCAGGCCTACAATCCTAGCATTTTGGGAGGCTGAGGTAGGTGGATAACTTGAGGTTAGGAGTTCGAGACCAGCCTGGCCAACATGGTGAAACCCCATCTCTACTAAAAATACAAACATTAGCTGGAAATCGCTTGAACTTGGGAAGCAAAGGCTGCAGTGAGCCGAGATCGTGCCACTGCACTCCAGCCTGGGCAACAGAGCGAGACTCTGTCTCAAAAAAAAAAAAGCCCTTTCTTGAGCTGTTTCTGGACTCCCTCCATGGTTCCTGCAGGGGACAGCAGGGGGCCTTCTAGGACCCCGCCCAGGGTTAGGACTAGGATCCGCAAGTGATCAGATTGGGGCCTTGAACTTAGAGGTTGTCAAATACTTTTAATCCCCACATCCCATTAAAAAAAAAAAAATTGAGGATAACACATCTGTTAGCTTCAGTTTTTTCTTCTGCAGCTTCCTCACCTCTCTCAGCTTTCATAGAATTGAAAAGAGTTAGGGCCTGGCTCTGGGTTAGGCTTCGGTTTGAGGGAATATGGTGGCTGCTTTAGTCTTCTATCCAGAACATTAAAACTTGCTCCATATCAGCGATAAGGCTGTTTTCCTTTCTTATCATTCCTGTGTTCACTGGAGTAGCAAGTTTAATTTCCTTCAAGAACTTTCCCTTTGCATTCACAACTTGGTTTCTTGGTGCAAAGACCTAGCTTTCAGCCTCTCTTGGCTTTCTACGTGCCTTCCTCACTAGGCTTCATCACTTCGAGCTTATGATTTAGAAGTGAGAGACGTGCGATTCTTCCTTTCACTTGACCTAGAGCCCACTGTAGGGTTACTAATTGTCCTCAATCCAATATTGCTGTGTCTCAGGATATAGGGAGGCCTGAGGATGGGGAGAGAGATGGGGGAATGGCTGGTAGGCAGAGCAGTCAGAACACACATGGCATTATTGATTAAGTTTGTCATCTTATATGGATGTGGTTTGTAGTTCTCCCAAACAATTCTGATAGTAACGTCAAAAGCTACTGACCACAGATCACCGTCACAGATATAGTAATAATAAAACGTTTGAAATATTGTGAGAATGACTGAATGGCTTGTTTTGTGGTGTGGATCTCACTCTTATGTGCCGTAGAGTAACTGTGAAGATCGGCAGCACGCGCAGATCCATCGGAAAGATTTTGGCTTGAGAATGACAAGGAATAATGAGATGGCATCAGTTACTCTTCAAAAAATACCCACACTTTTAGATAGGCATAGAGCCAAAACTTTGTTTTTTGAGAACGAAAGAAGAAAAATGACCTAGATGAGCACATCCTAATATTTGAAGTGTTGGCCAAACTGAATCCTTTTAATGAATTGTACTTTATAATAAAAATATACATGCAAAACTTCTTGCCCTTAAAATTGTCTGAGGCTTTTGATAAGAAGAAGTCCTAAAATCCCATGATCTTGGTTACCTTCCAACTCTTCCTCCTGGGAAAATGCCCTGGCTCAAAGGGGGCAGAGCAGGCACCATCCTCATTCTAATCTCTGGCCTCTCAGATGGTGACAAAAACATTGTCACCTAGCAGAAAGGACTTCCAAATTTTAGAAAATTGGAGACTTTATTGTTGGAAAACTTGAAAGAAGAAATCCAAGGAAAGTGAGACAAACCATGATCAAAATCAAAAACCAATTCACATAATATGGTTTTAAAGGGAAAGCTGGCTTTTCAGGGGATGTGCATATTCTTTTTTTTTTTTTTTTTGAGACGGAGTTTCGCTCGTGTTACCCAGGCTGGAGTGCAATGGCGTGATCTTGGCTCACCACAACCTCCGCCTCCTGGGTTCAGGCAATTCTCCTGCCTCAGCCTCCTGAGTAGCTGGGATTACAGGCACACGCCACCATGCCCAGCTAATTTTTAGTATTTTTAGTAGAGACGGGGTTCACCATGTTGACCAGGATAGTCTCGATCTCTTGACTTCGTGATCCACCCACCTTGGCCTCCCAAAGTGCTGGGATTACAGGCTTGAGCCACTGTGCCCGGCCTGGATGTGCATATTCTTACACCCTAGAAAAATAAGAAAAACTCATTATAGCATTATTGGTTATTTTGGAGATTTCAGATCATATGTGTATTAACTCATGCCTTTCAAAAACTGTTACTTGCGCAAATAATTATCAGTTTAATATTCAGGGTAGTTTATTGGGCAGAAATTCATCCTGACCATAAAGCAAGTCTGTAGCAGATATTTACTTTATGTTTTTCATAGTTCTCTGTATTCAAATATGGGCTGCATCATTTTATCTGAATGGAGAAATAGTGTAATCATGAAATTGTGACTTCATCCACTGTGACCCCTGGTCCAGTATGGAGAGTCCAGTTTCTGCCATATTTCCATCTCCCCACTACACATCCATGACAAGAATCTTCTAAAAATAAAAATATCTTTTTTAGTTAAATTACTAGAGAAGGCTGGGTGCGGTGGCTCGTGCCTGAAATCCCAGCTCTTTAAGAGGCCAAGGTGGGTGAGTCATCTGAAGTCAGGAATTTGAGACCAGCCTGGTCAACATAGTGAAACCCCATCTCTACTAAAAATAAAAAAAAATTAGCTGGGTGTGGTGGCACATGCCTGTAATCTCAGCTACTTGGGAGGCTGAGTCAGGAGAATTGCTTGAACCTGGGAGATGGAGGTTGCAGTGAGCTGAGATTGTGCCACTGCACTCCAGCCTGGGTGACAGAGGGAGACTCTGTCTCCAAAAAAAAAAAAACTTCAGAAGTTCTCCATGATCTCTAATGTACATAGAGACTGCACATCAAGATGTTAATAGGTTTCCCATGAAAAATGTATTCTAATTTAGTCTAAGAAATGTTGGTCTAAACAATTATTTTCCTGTAGGAATTCTAAGTGTTTAATGTGTTATTATGTGCCATGAGTCTAAAGGTGTAGACTGATGTAGTGTACAGTGTCCCAAACATATTTCTTACAAAACCTCTTCATCACAGAGAACCTATGAACGTTTTCAAAGGTCAGCCTTAAAAGACAAAACTGACCCACAAGATGCAATTGGGTCACCACACCCCTCTAGGTACTGCCCCTTTCCATTTTCATGGACTGCGTTTTGCTCCCAAGCTTTTGTAATTCTTTGAATGCACTGTGTGTTCTCTGTGTGTGCATATAATGTTTCCTCTGCCTAACCTTTTTTCCCATTTCTTTGACTTTTAAACTTCTACTTATCCTTTGAGAATCTCATTTAAGGCTTATCCTTCCATGAAACCTACAGGTGAAGCTTCTTCGTCTGAGCTCCCCTAGCACAGTGGTTCTCAAGGTGAAGCATCAATCAGGGTCACCTGGAAGGCTGGATAAAGTACAGACTGCTGGACCCACTCCTAGGATTTCTGATTTGGCAGGTCTGAGGTGGGGTCTGAGAACTTCATCAAGTCACTCATTTTACATGGAGACATAGATCCAGAGAGGTTCACAGAGGTAGAGTGGTCTAAGGTAGGAATCAGCACACCTGAGGTCTTGCACACCTGTACCTCTCAGCAGGCTGAGTGATGCTGAGAGAGTGCTTTATCCTTCATGACTTCCTCTGTAAAACAGAGTATGAATGCCTGCCCTGTGAGGTACTGAGGATGAGTGAAACTCTAGAAAAGCATGCTGCCGAATAGGGTGGTATATTAGTGTCACAAACTACCACAACTGGGTGGCCTGAAGCAGCAAACTTGTTCTCTTACAGTCGTGGAGGCTGGAAGTCTAACACGAGGTGTCGGCAGGGTCCGCTTTGGCTGCTGGTTCTGGTGGTTCGCCGGTAGTCCTGGCGCTGCTTGCCTTGCGCTCCATCCTCTGCCTCCATCTTCACGTGTCCACCTTCTCTGTGTCTCTTCTCATCTTACAAGGACACCAGTCACATCGGATTGGGGCATTGTAATCCACGATGACTTGGCTTTAACTTGATTACACGTGCAAAGATCCTGTTTCCAAATTATGTCACAGGAACCAGCACCAAGACAGTAACATGTATCTGTGGGGCGTACGATTAAACTTACAACAGCTGGCAGTGGTCACAGCTAATAAAGGCGGAACCCACCTGATGATTGCCTGGTGCCCTTTCTACCACAAGGCCCTGGACTTCACTTGCAAGATGATGTAATGCACATCTGTTTTCCATCCTTTGCTCCTCTGCTTGAAAGTCTAGACCAGGCGTCCCCAAACTTTTTACACAAGGGGCCAGTTCACTGTCCCTCAGACCGTTGGAGGGCCGCCACATACTGTGCTCCTCTCACTGACCACCAATGAAAGAGGTGCCCCTTCCTGAAGTGCAGCAAGGGGCCGGATAAATGGCCTCATGGGCCACATGCGGCCCGCAGGCCGTAGTTTGGGGACACTTGGCCTAGACAGTTAATGTCAAGGACTTAATTGTTCCCTAACATTTTGAAGGTTATTAGTGCTGACAGGAGACCTGAAACTGACCTGAAAGTGGTCATACGACCTGACACAGCAGGGAAATGGAGAGGTGGCCATTGACTTGGGGATGCTGTTAAGAAAGAAGCAATCATGTGGAGCTGGAACATGAGTCACATTTGGTATCGCCCTAGATCAGGGGCTGATGAGCTTGGGGTTCTGTGAAGGCATCTGGCACACAGAAAATCCACATGTGGACTGGGGATCTGAGTCTCGGCTATGCATAAGCTATGCCATGGGGCCAGGGATGAGGCTCACCTCCAGGGAGGTTGCTA